TGTCTGAAATGTTTACATACAGGGACTAAAAGGCTTTTCCTTTGCTTAAAAATCCCGCAGGCCCCTTTGCTTTCCCACAGCTTGCCGCATCTGCAGAGTTTTCTAGGGCTGACCTCAGAGATGCAGCCAGCCCTCGCTCCCCAGCCAGGCTGCCAGAGCTGCTGAGGGACGTGGGCTAAATGTTAGGTGGGGATGGAGGGCAGAGTGTCCTTGCTCCTGTGGCCAGGTGGATATCCAGACCCGCCGTCCAGGCAGCGTGCCAGGGATCATGCTGCTGTCAAGCTTTGTGAACACTGGCTGATTTTTAAATACATTTATTTATGACAGTTTCTGAGTGTGCATCAGCTGGTAAAGTGCTGCTGCCACGGCCTGTGGTCCTTCAGAGATTAAAAATGGAGCACTTCCAAATTTTTATGAGATTTTCTTGACTGTGCTAGTTTAACCTTTAGAACTTGGTGGTCTTTTTCAGCCTAAAGAATTCTATGATTCTATTAAAAGAAGCCTGCAAGGTTTCATCTGGATTTCTTAATTTTCTAAAATAAATTGAAATAATTTCTGATCTGATTTGTTCTGTTTCTTAAAGAGTCTGAAGCCCATCTTAAGCAAAAGGAAACTAGTGGCAGGGGAGAGCTGCAGCTCTGTGTCTCATCTTGTAACTCTGGTGGGAATTTCACAGGTCACCACCTCCTCTACACAGACACCATTACCTAAGCTTGAAATATTTCTTTGGCATATTAAATCTGGTTTATAGGAAAGGATATATTTAGGCCATCAACTATAAGGTCCAAGTTCAAAAATGTACTGAGAGATGCAGACAATTCACTGACTTGACTGTTCAACCCAGCTCCAAACACAAGCTGCATTCTCATCTCTGCTTATATGTCCTTAAACACACTTTGGGCCAAAAAGTTACGTGAAACACACTTTAAAGAGGCATATATTGGTAATGCTGGAACTTATCTTTGGCATTTTAAAGGAGAGCTTAATACCTGCATCTGCTCTGTAAATAAAAGCACCTTGGACAAGCTCTTTAACTTTCCTAACTTAAGAGGAAAATATTCCCTAGTCATTTGCAGTAGATGTACAGGCTGGAGCTGGGTGGCTGCAGCCTGTGGTGCTCTGCTGTCCTGGCAAAGAGGCTGAGAGGAGCCTGAATGAATGACAACAAAGCAGATGAAAGGCTCAGTTTCAGCTGGACAAGCTCACATTCATTAACTGGCTGGTCTGCCCAGCTCGTTTATTATTAATTCTGAGTGGCATCTGAGTGGGAGAAGCATCTGTGATGGGTGTCAGCCGTCAGAGGGCTCCATCCAGCAGAGCCCTGCCTGTCACAGGCTGGGCAAGCCACCAGCCCTGCTGTCAGGGTGAGAAGACTTTGGATAATAGCTCGGCTTCCCGTCAGGACTTGCTGGATCAATGTGGTCATAAATAGGAAGGGAAACACATGTTAAGTATCCTTTTCCTTTCTTGTCCTTTCCTCCTGGTGTTCAGCCTATAGCTTTGTGATTTTAGGATGAAAGTCACTTTCGTGGTTTATTTATGATTTTTTTTTTCAATGAAATCCTGTAAATCTGACTTGAATCCGGGGCAGGATATCTCTGGTATTTCTGTTGTGGCTGTGGGGTTGAAGATTTCTCTAGGATCTGCCCTGGGAGGCCTCATAGACCTCATATGAGCCCCACTCCAGGAGACTCAGCCTGGGTGAAGGCTTCTCTCCAGCTCTGTGTGGTACCAGCTTGAAGAAGAGTTCCCAAAGTCCAGCTATGATCACAAGAAATCTGCAGGAACAAAAGAGAACATCACACTTTATCTAAAGCATGTTGTTTTCTGAAGCTACCATTGGAAGTATACCCATAGATTTATAAAGTAACTTTCTTGTTGAATTGGATGAACTTATAGCCTTAACCATAAAAATAACCAGAGAACGTAAATACGTTCTATTTCAAAGGTGACTATTTTAATTTTTATGATCTTTGAAAACAATTTCCTCTTGGACAAGTCCTAAGAGGATATTTTCATTTTGTCTTTTTTTTTTCTTATTGAACATGTTTGGCACTGAAGTTGTTGAAAGAGAAGCTTCTGTATGAGATATGTAAATGCATGCTCTGTGTAGGCAGGGTCTTCATATTTCACAGAAAACTATGACAGTCCTATTCTTGGGCTGAGATTTTTTCCACTGATGGGGACTGGAGTATTCTGAGGCTGTGTTTAGCAAACAAAGCTAACCTGAAGCCTACAAATATGCATTGCATTTGCAGTGAGCCTGTAAGGCTGCCAAGGTAACCTTTTTGTGATATAAATCAAGGCAATACTGTAATGGTTGTGCATCTTGGACCTCTAGCACTTTCTGACAAAATCAGTACCAAAGAGATGTGGTGCTTCCTGGAAGATCAGATTATAGCAGTCATACCTGCAGTCCCTTTGTGAATAATTCATTTTTTTGCTCCTTCTGCTGTCATATCACCTGTCATACCTGAGTGGGGAAGGTTCTTTGACCTAGAATCAGTCTTTTCTTAAATCTTTGATTGAGAATGGCACCTTCCAGACTATAGCCAGGGTTACTGATGTAGCCCCTGAAATATTAACTACTCCAGTCATTACATAATTGATACCTGTCCTATATAGCAATATCTTTACTATTAATGATACATAATTACTTGGTGTATAATGATAGTGTCGATCAGAATTTAGTATCTATCTATTGTAATAGCATCTATTAGTAATAGTGTCTAATAATATCTGTAGTGATAGTATCTATTTCTGTTGCTGGTAGTTAGCTTTTGCTTGGCTCCACATTGAGATCAGTACCTGCTATCACTGTTCATACCAGCAAACCCAGAGTGGGCTTCAACCTGACTTGTGTTACAGTTTCATAACATGATGAAGACTAAAATTAGGGGCTATTTTTTTACCATCTCAGTTAGCTACAGTGCTTTTCACAAGAAAGATGTCCTACAGATTTTCAGGCTTTTCTTCTAAAAAGGAGAATCCAAATTTTTTATAACCCAGGACTGGAATTTACGCATGAGGATGCAATAAGTATCATATTAGAACTATAGCTGTACATCTATATTTAATCTTATATTTGCAAAATATTTCAAGAACAACACTTTTTTTTTTTAAGTAGCAGTATAACTGCAGTAATGTAAACCTTTTTCTGCAGAAAACAAGCTGCTGGTAGTTATCTCTTAGCAACTAAGCCACATCAGGCTACTTTTGATATTCTTATTCTTGTTGAATGATAATAATCCTACTGAAATCTTGTCTAGAGCATGAAATGAGGTGATACTAAGAAAGATTATATTGGGATATGGCCTAAAATAAAGTAATTATCACACTTTATATCCTGTTAAATTACAGTCTGTCCATTACCTTAATATTGCACTATTTTGTCCCAATGCAATAGGTTGAAATACAGTCCTGAAACTCAGACAACTGCAGAAGTTGCATGTTAAAAATTGAAAAACTTATTTACAGCTGCATAAGAGTGACTGAATTCAGGTTAAGCCAACACAAAACTGAACTCTTCGTATCTTTGTATTTTATTACTTGTAAGTTCTGAAGAACGATGACTCGTACCTCTGTTTACTTTTTAAAGGACATTGGCATTTTCAGTACGTATTTAAAACTTTAAAATAAACAATATACCATTTCTTAATAAATCTGCCTTTCTCTTAAATTGAAGTTTTTGACTGAGTTTCAAACTCGTGAGGAAAAGCTGAGAAAGAGTCTTCATTATGGACCCTTCCAGAATTCAATTGACTTGGTTATCAAAGGTATCATTACAAACAGTGTTTTAACAGAGGAAAAAAATCTGTATGACATGAACTACCCCTGGTAGCTGAATCCCAGTCCTCTGGGCAGCTCTGTTCTGTGCATCAGGACTGAGAAAATAATGTCCTCAGTAACATGGGATGGTGGAACTGAGGTAATGTATTTTCTGAGACATTTGAAAAACTAGAAGTAACTCTGTTCTTCCGTTACCTTGAGACATGACTTATATCCAGCCTGCAATTGATTTGCACACAAATCTAGCAATTTCATCGGGTTTGTCTTCCCAGAAACTTAATTTAGAGATTTTCTATTAATACCAGATACTTCACCATAGGCTTTTCTTCTTGGCTCCCTGCCACCTTTCAGATCAGACACTCATTCCAGCTGCCACTAGCCAGAGGGAGAAACCAACAGGCATAAATAAATATTTGCTATCCTTGGCAAAACCTTTGAAGGAGGTTCTCACTCTGATCAGAGATGTGTTTCCCAAGAAGTAAAAAAGATTCAGGAAAAAAATGCAGTGTATAAATGCACCATCTTAATATCTTCCTTTGTGAATTTTGGTCACAGCTTCTTATATTTTGATGGAAGTTCACCTCTTAGAAAACATCAAACACACTGCCAAACACAGCTGAGGTCTTGTCTTACCAGTCAGTCTGTGACAAAGGTATCAGCTAAGCTTGGGTTGTGGGGTATTTATTCTTAAGGATGATGCACAAATCAGGAATACGACAACCTGGCTGCATTTCCAGAGGAAATACGAGGAAATGTGTTGTGGAACAGCTTCACACTTCCCACTTACCGTGGAAGTGCCAAAAGTGATTCAGTTCACAGGGAAGGTGATGGCCAACAACACTGTGAGCTTTCCTGGTGGCAAGTGGGATGTAACAGGGACCAGAAGATGCTATTTGCAACAGACTTTGAGAACAGAGAGTAGAGAAAACAATAAATGTTTGATTTATTTTCTAATGTCACCTATCTGGAATTTTCAAGATTCTGCCTGTGTCAGAGCCACATTTAGAGCTTAACAGTCTCCATATCCTTTGGCACAAGAAGGAACTTAGAGACTTAAGGGTCCACCAGCTTTCTTAAATCCCTGCTTGGATTACAGCATTGCAACCAATGCATACGGGATGTAGGACAATACTGTGAAATGGCAACTTCTCTTATTCTGAAAGAAATGATTGTGCTCTTCAAGACAACAGTTGAGTGTTTGTATTGAACAGATCTCCCTTGTTTGGAACAGAAGAAGCAGCTCAACTGCAGAGCATGCTGCCTCCTTGGCCCTCCTCCACCGCCCCTGTTCCCACCACCGTACTTCAGGCACAGCTGGAGCACTGTAAGTGTGGCTTTTACTTCTTTTACACGAGTTGTAATGACAATGAATGAAGCATTGTCTCAAGCACTTTGTGGTGCCACTCAGCAAACCTGCCTGGCTGTGCTGATAAGGCTCTGTGAGGACAATCACACAGCATCCCAGACTGGGGCTTGAAGTAAATATCAGATAAATCAAGGAGTGACACGAGGCTGTAGATGTAGATGTAGATGTAGATGTAGATGTAGATGTAGATGTAGATGTAGATGTAGATGTCCTGTTCTGCATCACATTTGCCTTCCCTAGTAGGTGAAAGGAAGGTCCTGAAATCGTCCTGAGGAGTCTATTCCCCACCATTTCATTTTGCAGAAGCACATATGTGTTTGAGATGCTGGTATGCAGTTTTCACTCACCTACCCATGCACAAACCTGCCATGTGTGATATATGTCCATAAACATATGCTGACATAAGCATGTGCAGGATACAATGGGAATATGACACAGCAATTTGCCCACGTCCTCTTACTGCAGGTTCTGCTAACATATTCTCCACCCCAACATAAAGAATTTTTCTACCTACTCAGTAATTCCTATTCCTTAATTTTAATATTCATTTACCATATACAAACACTGCAATTATTGCTAGAGTTCCGTAAATAATGATTAGTAAGATGTCAGGCAAGAAGTAACCCAAGAAAAAGTACAGTGTAAAATCCTCCATTGCCTTCTTATTGGTCAGGATTGAACTCAGGGTGCTGTTCTCTCCAGACCAAAATACACTTGCCTTTGCTTGCCTCATCACCTCCCCTGCCTGTGCCTTGATTTCCACAGAAAGGAGATCCAAAGACAAGATGTCTTTAGGAATGTTGTGTACTCCTTCAGTAAGAATAAGAAAGGAACGAGGGTCCCTGAGATTCCTGCAAGCATCTTAGAGCTTCTGAGCCTAAAATCACCCTCCAGACCATCTCCCCATAAAAACATGATATGAAAATAAGCAGTTATAAGCAGGGTGGGAGCCATGTAAATTAAGCTATGAGCAGTTTGTTCTCTGGAGCCTGTAGTCAGAGATTTACTGGAAAGTGGCCTTTCTCTTGGAAGCTGAAGATCAGTTGTTTTAATCCAGTGTTTCTGGCTCAGTGTTCATCTGTGTTTCCAGGGGAGATCACTTTTTTCACATGACATAAATAAGGCATTTCACTCATGAAAGCTTAATATTGAAGTCAGGAGATCAGACGTTCATTGATCATTTAAGGCACTGGCTCTGCACTGCAGTGAATGAATGCCTCGGGGTTAGTATCTTCTGGAGGGAAGTTCATGCTGCCTGTGTCCTCCCTGAGTGAAGTCTCTATTATTAGAGAAAAGATGCTATTCCTGGAGAGGAGCTGCTGCTGGCAAAGTGGGACAGAGAGGGCAGGGTCAGGTCTAAGAATAGGCCAGGGTCCCACGCTGGCTCAGAGGGGCAGCCAGGCTGTGATGTGCCTCTGTGAGAGGAGAAGGAGGAAGAGGAGGAGGGGAAGGAAGCATGGGGCAGGAGGCTATGCTGAAGTGCTAATGTTCAAGCATCCATGAAGATAACATTGTGACAAGCCCCAGACTTCTCCCAAAGGGAGCAAATAAACTCTTTTGAGACTGTAGTGTATGGCAGCTGGATTTTTATGCATTTCTCCAACAGGCTACATGTGGCTGCATGTTCACTCATATGTTTGATGTTTCATAGAAGCTGGATATGGAGGAGTTGTGTCACGAGCTCCAGATAATACAGGCTTCCTCTCTGTCTGAATCTCACTGTTCTGCAGGGCCTCCTGGGCCCCAGGTGAGTGATGTATGTGTGACAAAACCACATCATTCTCTGACTTGCTCCAAAGTCCTTACAAAGCTCTGAAACACATGAAGATGTTTTTTACCACTCAATAAGCATGCCAAGCTCTGGTTTAACTTCATTTTGATATGACTTTGCATATATCATGTAGGCTTTTTACCCCATGTTCTCATCCCTGCCTTACACAGTTCATTCTGTTTCAAGTTCACCCTTCATTTTTGAGGAGTTTTACAGAGGGTAGCACCCTTCAAAAACCACAGATTTGTCATCACTTCCTTCAGAGGCTCCTTGTCAGTTTTTTTTTTTGCTTTGCTTTCTGTTCTTCTTTTTTGTGAGGACAAGAGCCTGTGGAGTGGATACACTAGGGATAAAATGGACTAGGATGTTAGTGGAGTACGTCCCTGAGAAGGCAAACATCTGCAGTAAAATCAGGGACAAGGAGGGGTTTAGCAGGGCAGTGGGGTGGGATTCAGGAGGTGCAAGGTCTCCTAGCTTGACTGCAACATCTCTGCCTCTGACTTGCTGGATAGCCTCAGACCAGTCTTTTTGACCTCACGCCTCATTTTCTACAGTTTATTCTTTCAGAAACCTTAGAATCATATAACCATTTGAATTGAAAGGGACCTTTAAAGGCCAACAAGTACAACCTCCCTACAATGAACAGAGACAATACAACTAGACCGGGTTGCTCAGAGCCCCATCCAACCTGGCCTTCTTCTGAGGAGATGAACCACCCTAGAGGGATGGTTTTTGTGAACATCTCTGTATTGTCGAGAGGATCAGCCGTTTGCTTTTCCATGCCTGTTCCCTCCAAAGAAAGTGGAGAGTTTTTGTGGAGAGGCACTTCCAGTTCCTGCTGGGGCACAGGCAGTGCCAATCCATGTGCTGTGCCTGGTGCCTTGGGACAATGACCTTCCTCAAGCCCCCTCAGTGCCAGTTTATTGCCATACAGCCAATAGCACACGTGGCACAGGACCTGTGCTCAGCAAAGCTGTGACTGAGGCTTTGGCAGCCTGAGCAGGCAACAAGCACCCAAACACTACTTGAAAAGTATGGACAACACAAGTAAAGGCTCACTAATGTGGCAAAAAGCTTAGCTTTAGTTATTTATAAATCAGTACTTCAGAAGATAATTGGAGAGTCTAGAAGTTTTAAGGTGAAAGCCACAAAGTCTTCTTTTTATAGAATCATTAGAATGGTTTGGGTTGGAAGAGACCTTAGAGATCAAGTAGTTCCAACTCCCCATGAATTGTGTCTTTGTTGTTTTGCCAATTTGTCTTTGCTGAGATGCAGGATGAGAAAGTTTCATTTAGGTAATGAGAGTGGAAAGGTGTGATCAGAAGTGATGCTTAGTGTTTGCCTAGTTCTGTCTTGAGGAAAGTCTTCTCTGCATTATGAAACAGCCTTCCAGTGGGATTTGCCATGATCCAGAGCTGCTGTTCATAAAGAAAAAAACACTTGTTATTTCAGTCTTTGCTAGACTGTCTTTAAAAAAAATAATCCTGTTGATAGCCTCTGAAGTCAGAGGACTTAAATTTCAAGAAAGTAATTTTAATTCTATTGTTCTACAAAGTCCATTGCTATAAATAATATTAATCTTGCAACCAAATGATCTACAATCCCTCCAAGAATATTTTTAAATAGAGCAGGCAGGCAGGTTTTATCATAACAGCAGACAGTAGGATGAGTATAACATGGCTTTGGAATTTTTAATTACAAATTGCAGGACGGTGCCTTGTACAGGGACAATGAAAGAGCCAGCAGAGTTTTGGGAAATACTTTTGTGACAATGTCCACCTGCAAAGAAATACTACCATTACAAAGAGACATCTAGTAATTATTTCTGAATTTTTCTGTAGCTTGCATGGCTTTCAGAGGAGTTGTAAAAGCTCATACTGTTGACTCATAGATGAATTTTAGTAAATTTTCATAAGAAGGAAAATTAGATTTGTAATGGTATGACTTTGAGTGTAATTTCTCACATGTGTATCCTAAGGTACAAAGAAATAAATAAGATTACATTCTGACTCTAATAGGGTGCATTGATTTTCACTACTGAAAACCTAAAATAACTCTACTGGCTAAAAGAGTTGGAGTAATTTGTGTCAGGGGGTAGATTTTGCTCCTATTCGTGTACAATTTGATCACATTTTCGACACTATAGGACAGGCAGGATCCAAACCTGGAGTGAGTGATTTTTACTGTGAATCTAATGCTTCTCTGATGCAGGCTCATGGGATTCTTTTCCTTAGTCATTTAAAAGTAAAATGTGATCTGTGAACCAAAGCCTTCTAGAAATAAATCTGTTTTCTGGTGGTTTATTTCTGAGAAAGGTGTTCAAGGTCTTCCTGGATTAAGAAGTCTCCTGAAAGGAGAATCAGCCTTGTTTGACAGAGAGAAATATTTTCAGAATTCAGAAATGGCAGCAATCTTCCATGTCCTTCCCATCCTGCAGAGCCCAGCCCACATGTTTTAAGCTACTTCCCTTACCACCCCTAGGGCTGACCTCTTTTTCCAGCTGATGTGGTGTCTCCATGTCCTGGTTGCTAATTCTTCAGGACTCTGATAACTTCTCATCTTTCATTTGCCCCAGGCTTGTTTTTCTTGTGGGTTCTCCTCATTGATGTGATTCCCCTGACCTTCCCATGTCAGTCCAACTCTGCATCCTGCCAGTTCAGCAGTGACACAGACCTGGTGTTTGGAGGCCACATTCAAACACAACACCCAACACCTCAGGTCCCAGGAGACACAGATAGGGTCAAGGGCTGATGGAAGACAAGAGCCTCACTAATGCAGGTTAATAATAACATTCATGTTCCTCCCTAGGGCCCACAAGGAATACCTGGTATAATGGGACCAAAAGGGGAGAAGGTAAGTGTCTGTTGTTATGGAGTTTGATGTGTTTTTGAGGAGAAAAGAAGCAGGGGAGGGTGTTCACTTCTTTCTTTGCCCTTTTAGTGAATGGTGGGCCTCATAAATGGAGGGTTTAGCTTTAATTTGAATGTAAAGCTATGAATTGGCATGAAGCTATAATTTAAAACTTAGTCTTTCTGTGTTCATTTTCAGCCTTGAAATATATTTTATGTATTTTATGTCTTCTTTTGGCTGTGACGTCTCAGGTGCAAAAGTCAGCAATCTTACTGAGCCAAAGGCCTTTGAGCTCCTGTCCCTCTGGGAGGATGTGAGGAGCAGAGCTCTCCCATGCAGTGTGAATTGGATGGGACAGCTCAGGTATTAAAGCTGCCCTATATGTTATGTTTTCAGATGTGCAAAGATTAGCTCCAAAATGATGCCTAAAGGGCCTTACAGCTGAAGCTGAGCACCTAATTGTGTGCTTTGTTATAGAAGGAGTTTGCTGTAGATTCAGGGCTGAGAGCACAGGAGAGACCAAGGGGCTCTGATACAGTAATTCTTCTCATTTTACCTCTGCAAGCTCAGTCTTGATCACAAAGATATTTACAGTGTTTTGTTTGGTGGTATTTGTTCATTTGTTTGTTTGGGGAGAGGGTTGTGGGCTTGCTTGCTTGTTTGTTGGGATTTTTTCAATAGAAATGTATTGATGCATTGACTTAAGAGCCACTGTGCTTCATGTGCTGCCTGTAAGACTGACATATTCCTTTCTCTGGCAGGGGGAGATTGGCAGGCCTGGAAGAAAGGTATGAACAAAGGTGCTGTCTCAGAAATCCATCTAATATTTAACAGCAACTGCCAGACAGGGGTGAAGGCAAGAGTTCAAGAAAAATTAGTGAATGTTGAAGTTTAGCCTGATTGTGCTTCTGTCACTGGCCTTCAGAGTAGGGAGCTTCCAGTGTAGGGCTGGAGAGCTGCCCCAACTGGCTTGCATTTGACAAATCCCCTGAATAAAAGCACAGAGAGAAGCCAAAGAGTGGGACATTACCTGGAATGTCTGTGTGGAGAGGGGAAGCAGATTATGGGAGCTATTATAAAAGGTGTTCCAAAAAAAAAAAACCAAAGCAAAATCAGACTTTTTACTCTTCCAAAGTCTAAACAAGGCTCAGTCAGATACCCCTGAAGAAGGAACAACCATTAATGATTACCCTTCCAGAGCTCTGGCACCAGTGCAAAATGCTGACTACAATCCTATGCTAGGTGACATATGAGCTGTGATATATTGTCAAAAATATGTGCCCCTACATGTGATGAAACAGAATATGTTATCTCAGTCACTAAGTACATCCATTTAATGTAATTAACTTTAAAGAAGACAGAAATGCAGGATGAAATCAGAGATATGCAGGGGGTGGTCACTAACTAGGAAAAGAAATACCCTTCTAATAATATACCAAGGATTTTGACACCTTTCTAATAATATACCAAGGATTTTGACACCAACTACCAATCAGTAATTCAAATAAATATAAAACACATAAACAGGAGAGGTAATTTTATTTAATCTATTTTTAAATGCCGTACAGTAAACAAAAATATTATTAATATAAATTCAAGGGTTTGAAACAGCAATGTCTTCGAGAGAGTAACACACCAATCTACAAAGAAGTGCTTAACTTTAAACACGGTAAATCAACTTACTCTTCTGACAAAAACAAGTAGGTTCTGAAAGAGAAGTCGCTCAGGTTGGAAATAAAAGTGTACAGCTCTTGTTAAAAGCTGTCTGGCCCATGAGAGTTCACTCTTGGCCCTGAATATCATGACAACATTTCTGAGATAATATTGTCAAGCAGTGTAATGCAGTGGAAGAGCATTAATCTGCAGCATCTTAGGAGATATTGAGAGAGTGATTTACAGGCAGCAATTAAAATACATAAATAACTGTATGTACATAGGTAGTTATTGCTAGTCATACAGTAGTTAATAAAAAGAAACTGTAGCTAGCAATGTAGGAATATTCAGAATAAGGACCATAGTAATAGCAACAATTAGTTAAAGATTTGGTTCTGCTCTCAATATAAATTGGATTTGTATGGATATAAGTACACATAGGTCTTTTCATCCCCTGTCTGCAGTAACCTGTGTAGGAATGGTGTTTTATGAATCATTGTAATCAATGTTTTCCATTCAAGGGCAGACCAGGTCCCCCGGGCGTCCCTGGGATGCCAGGACCAGTAGGATGGCCTGGACCTGTGGGACCGAAGGTAAGGCTAAAATTCACATGGAGCAAATTGTTCAACATCACAATCTTGGGAAATCTCTAAACAGCCCCTTGCAGGAGTCTGGAAAGCTGTAGCAGTGCAAGGACAATGTGCTTGCTCCCTTTCTTACCCTGCTCTGAAAAGTCTAGGGTTAGGTTACTCCACCTTCTGTCCAGACCCTGTAGCACTTCTCATATGGATTAAGCATGTCTAAGGGAAATTGAAAATTAATACAATGAAGACTGACTGAGGTCTCACCGGTGTCCCACAACCACACAAATCAGTGTTTCTAAACTGATTGCCATTGTTATGACTATTCTTTATGAGGATCTCTTTGCCTGAAGATGTACTGTGAGCTCTTGTGATCAGAGGGAAAATACCAGGCTGATATCATGGGAAAGAGATGACCAACCATGAGAATGGTTGATCACACCTTTGAAGGTCATTCCCACACAAACAAACATTAGTTCCTGTTATTTTTATTAACCAACAGCAGAAGAAATGACAGGAAGCACATTGCTACTACAAAGTGGCTGTTTCATCTGCATTTATTATAAGAAAAGCTTCAGGGTAGTCTTTTAGTAACTACTGGCTTATGTAAAAGGTGTAACAGCTCTTCATAGGATCTGTGGTTTATGGAGCTTCTACTGGGACTTTTGAGACAACTTGTCTTTCTTCAATCCAGGATGCATTAGGCTAAAGGACTGCACACAATGCCTAGCTTGAAACAGCTTTTTCTAGAAAATCTTTGACTCTTCATTTGCTCTGTGAAGGTTGATGCCCCCACCTCAGAGGATGTGATGCATTAGCTCTTGATACTGCAAAAATAGTAGGAATTGACTTGTCAATTCAAGCCACATGTGGGAAGCAGACTTTCAAGATCTTCACAGCCACGTTAGATGAAGAACTTCGTATTATAGTACGTGGGGATGTAGGCAAGCAGCAAGAGAGTATGTACTTAAATCAATGTTCACTTTGAACTGGGAGATGGGGAATGGTTTCCCGCACAAACACATTGTGTGCTATGATTTCCCACAGCAGGAGCAATGAGGGCAGAGAATAGGTTCAGTCAAATCCTTCCTTAATAGTCTTAGTTAAGGAAGAGAGCAAAGCAGACAAAAAACTCATACACTCAGTCTTCTTGTGTAAGCATTAGTTTTATTTATGCAGTCTTCCTAATTTTGATTCATCTCCTGTGTCTCATTAGTCTAGATTAGTCTATTACTATGCTTTTTCATCACACTCCTAGAAGCATACCTTATATTCAGTAGTAATACTTTTCCCTATACTTCAACTGCCAAGTCCTACTTGCTATTTGATTATGATTCTGCTTTTATTGTCTCTTCTGATGCTGCTCTCCTCTATTCTTTAGGTAGGTTCACAGTAGCATTTCCTTCAGTCTTTATAAATTTATTTTTCCTGCCTGTCAGTGAAGGCTTCAGTTGAAGACAGTGCAGAAAACCTCTGTGGCCACTTCAGTTGGTTGTGTCTCTCTTTCCTTTCTCCCCATCTCTGACCTTCACCAACTTCCAATATTCTTCTTCACCACAGATATTTGCTGCATCCCCATCTTGCTGTGAATCTCCAGTAAGCTGCTATTTCAGGTTTTTTAACTTATATCCACTTCTATGGATATTTGCCATTTCTTCAGCTGGGTCTTCTTGTCTCCTCTTACTTTGACACAGCCTTACTTCAGCCCTTAATTCTCCTACTTCATTCCTTCAAGTCTTGTCTGAACTTTTGCAGGGGCAGCAGCCAGTGGGAAAATCCTCTCCATTTCTTGGACAGTGAAAGAAAAGGAGAGTAAGAGCCAAATGTACTCTGCTGGTAGCTCTGCTGTGTGTCTGGGGGTCTATTCTATATTTCACGCTAGATATAATTAGCTGTCAGCAGCCAGAGAAGTGGTTGTAAAGCTTTTTCATGATTTACTGGCTCCAAATGACTGTTCAGCACAAGGTGCCTCAGAGCCACAATAAAAGCAGTCTCTATGCCTCCACAAGCCATGAGGCATGCAGCAAAATGCCTTTCTTTTCTGCAGCTCAGTGGAGGTGGTGCTGGGTAGAGACAATGGACCTGTGTGCAGAAAAGGATGCACTGCTGATGGTGGTTTGCTTGCATGTCCTTTAATAACATCTGGGAAAACTAAAGCAAAAAGTTACCCACACAAGAAAATGCAAATAGAAGAGTAAGATAACATTTGAGGGATCAGGCAGAATTGTAATATAGACCCCTGTCCACAACGCTACACCAAGGTCAGGCTTAACTATTTGACATGAAAGCTGAACACTGAACTGTCAGACATTCAAATATGAACTCATCAGAAAGCCACATTCAATAACTCTCTTTATTGACCCCTTTAGGGTGAAAAGGGAGAGTTGGGTGTGATGGGATTGCCAGGTACAAGAGGACCAATGGGCTCCAAGGTTTGTTAACCAAACACTGCATTTTCAGACATTGGTTTCTAATGCTCTGCTGACAGCTGCTTCCCTCACGAATTTTCTGGAAAGCATTTATCAAGATATATGTTTCTAATACAGATAAAAAAATATGTTCTACATCAAGCAAAGTTATGTGTTATGTTGTCTGTTTGGGCTTGGCTGTGTTTTTGGCTTTTCATAAAAATGCTTTGGTATAAATTTCTGTAATTTCTTTTAAAAGCAAGCTCAGAAATAATTGTATCCCACTAGAAAAATGGAGCTCTTAAACACATCTGCAGCATTAAATCATGTCTGCAATGTTTTCCACCTGCCTCATAAGACTGTGGAGATAATTTTGGTCCCCTACTAGTCTGTACTAGGTCCCCCTAGTATGGGGCATACGTATTGACAGTTGAAATGAATTATGCAATAAGTTTATTCAAACAAAGGATTGGAAAGAACTGAACACCTTTGTTTATTCTATGTTTCTTTACAAGAAACTCGGTCTTATATTAATGATCACACCAGATTACTTAAGTATAACAAGTATGTTCCATGGGGGAAAAAACAACAAACAAACAAACAAAACAGAAGAGGAAGATTATTGTTAAAATTATTTTAGATTATTAATAGTGGCATCTAATGCTTTATTTACTCTCAGTTATATTTTATTTCACTTGTTTCAATTTCAAAGCATAATCAAAGCTGCTGGCTTTACCTGGCTTTTTCATAATGGCTTTTGGGCTGAGTTGTCTTGCCTTTAATTCATATTTCACAGTTCTGTTTCAGTGAAATTTTAGGAGCTGTAAATATTCATTTGCCTTTACATGTTGATGCAATTAATTATTTGTGCTTCGTTCTTTTTCTTCACTTCAAAGTTTGAAAGTCCGGCTTCTTGGGTGATCTTGAAAGCGAGAAGCATTAAAATATCTATCATTCCCTTTAGGGTTTTCCTGGAACTAGAGGAGAAAAGGTCAGTGTGACAACAGAATAATGTATAATTTAACATCTGGAAACATTTTTTAAAAAAATAGTAACTGTAGAAAGAAGGTTGAATTTTGATGAAGTGTAGAAGTCCCACTGAGAAATGAAGACACGTATGGTGAAAGAGCGCAGTCTTGTGGCTTGGGCTGGGGTGCTGAAGCAGTGAGTTTTACACCCTGTATCCTCGTGAACAAGTTGCTCCAGTGAAACTCACTATGGGTTCCCCATCTGCAGCATGGGTAAAATAATCCTTAATTGTTGGTCTGGCTTAGTTAGGTCCCACACGCTTTGGCACTGAGATACTTTGTACTCAAGATCTTATAGTGGGACCTGAACTGGGGAAAGAAGCCAACTGGGAAAAAAAAATCAAATTTGAAAGGGTTATGTACAGGAAAGCATTTATTTAAAGTAATTACCTGGGGAGAATGAGTCCCTTTTTCCTACAGTCCTTAGCATCAATTCTGTTATGATGTCAGTCATGAAACATATTCTGCTGACTTCAATAACACACTGTATAAGAAAAGTATTTTTTGCTTCTTCATGAAATGGTAGTACTTAGGCTGTTGTTCCCCTGTTATCTCTCTTCAGGGATCCAGAGGTGACAGAGGCGACAAAGGAGTCAAAGGAGACCCGGTAATTTTCTTTTCCAGATGGCTGTGAATGTGCATCTGAGGATCAACGTGCCTCCGACAGGGAAAAACAGGAGGGGCATGGAGGAAAGCAGCCTGAAAGCATCTTCCAGGGAGGGCAGGAGTGCTGAGGAAAAGCAGTGTTCCCATCTGCTGTGAGGGTGGTGGGGCAGCTCCATGTCCATGTGCCCCCAGCCCGGTGCGCAGCGGGGTTGATGAGCCACAGGAGGATTTCCCTGGAGGTCACCCCAGCCCCTCCTGGGCTCTGCAGCTTCCCAAAATGCTTTCAGCTGCTGATATGATAGTACCAGGAGGGGAAGAGGGGGAGAGATTAGTGGTTTGGGGGTTCTTTTGACTAAGAAAGGAAAAGTAAACTGCTTTTGGTGGAAATGGAGAAATGCCTTTCCCAGAGGCAGGCTTTGGGAGTTGTCCCGGTAACAGAGCTAACTGCAGACAAGAGAACAATCAGGATGATTTTGCCAGAGAAACAGTAACTGGCAGCAGAGGATCAGACAGTGGAGTAAGGGCACCATACAAGGTGCTTTACAGTAAAATTTTGCTTATAAATCTCCACCTACTGCATTACCTGTAGTGCTGAGTCAACACAGGGGTTTTTAACTGATGGCCACACATGGCACTTGTTTTTTAGTTCCAAGGAAGGTGCTGCTTTGTCAAAGATCACTACACATTTTCTGATTATTTTTCTCCTTTGACTTTGTAGGGAGAAATAGGCTTTCCTGGAATGCTGGGACAAAAAGTAAGTGAGTGTAGTATGTTGGGGAGCTGTGTTAAATTCTGAGACAGGATCAATGAGTGGGTTCAGGGACTTCCCATATGGTGGAAGACATTGAAGGCCTTGCTTGGCAGTGACCAATACTGCCTGGACTTGACCAAATTTAGCCTTTTTAGCTTGAGAAAACCCAGATTTAGCTCTTTGGTGTTTTTTCTTTTTTTTCCCCCGGATTGTTTGTTTAGTCATAATCTCTCTCCTGTTTAATTGCCCTAATTGATAGGGTTTTATTCACTTGAAACTAATAAATATTTCCTTCTTGATACTCTGAAACAAAATGGCACTACTGTATATAGCAGTGATAACCCTGACCAGTTTTTATGTCATCATTATTCCATACTTGAAAAACAATCAAAATCCAGATGCTGGCTTATGGAAAACCTAAAGGTGGATAATTTCATGACATAATCAAATTATGTCTCTGAAATTAGAAAAGGAATTAATAGTTGCTTCTACAGAGATTAGAAGATGAGTGAATTCACCTTCCTGTCCCTGAGTATTTTCATCACACATGCATCTTAACAGCAAAGCAAGATATTGCAAAGGGGTCAGAGAGCTTTGCCAGCCTTGACTTCTCCAAGTCTCTTAAGCATGTTTCTGATCTCATTTGGCCTCTTCCTTAGGAAAGGATTTTTCAGGGTTGTGTGGGTAAATTTCATGAGCTGGTTTTTTTTACTTTACAGTTGTTTTAAAATATTTCACAATAATTTTGGATTTTGAAGAAAAATATGGTGCTAGCATTATCTAGAGGAATCATGTGAATGAAAACAGTGTGCATCTGCTGTCCTGTGTGAGGCAGGTAGAGCCATGTACTTACCTCCTGCTTCCTTCCCTCTGCAACCACCAAGGGAGAGATGGGCCCCAAGGGACAATCCGGAGTACCAGGACACAGAGGACCTATAGGAAGACCTGGAAAACGAGGCAAACAAGTAGGACCACGGTGTTTCCTCTCCCTGTGACTCATGGCATCTGTGTGATTGTGTGGTCTGAGCTCTTGTAGCATGCTCTGTGTGGCACAGGGGGTGGGCAGAAGCCCAGGAGCACCTCACAGGCATGCACAGGCTACACAGGGGTTAAAGCCTCAGGGCTGGAGTCTTGTCTGCAGCATTCAGCTCCCTGCCCATGCAGCACAGGAAAAGTTGTTTTTATCCTGGATTGGAAATGAACTAATTTAATGCAATTCAAGCAGATCTTGAAGGCTTCCTTTGAATCCTAAGCAACACAGAGCTGTGGTCCCAGCTCCACCTGACAGCTAGAGAGCTCAAAATTATGCCTAGCAGAGCTATATTTTCAGAGTTCAAGTGAACTGTAAAGACTAGGAATTGTGTGTAAATTGGATACTGACTCCACCAATACAACATGTCAGTGGCAGGGCCCTAGCTGGAAGCAGTTTATTTGCAGTCTTGTTGTGCTCAGCATGGCAAGGAGAGCCACATCCCTGCAGTTTCACTGTTGCTCTGATGAGAGCAGGAAATATCTGAAGTGATAAAGTAGCCAGTGTGGGGAAAATAGAAGAGTTGGGTGTTAGGGATGAAACAACAGAGCCCCACGTAAGGAAGAGCAATGAAAATCTCCTAGATGACCAGCAAGAAATATTTTTTTGTCCTAGATTTGACAGATTTCAAAAACTGTTGTGTGCTCTTTCATGGTTTTGAGGTTTTGGTTTTTGGTTGGTTTTTTTTTTTGTAAACCTGGTTCATCTGTCCTGCCTGTGTGCTGTGGAGTATCTTTCCACAATGTAAGACAAGAGAAGATGTGGTGCCTGCAGATCAACTTGAACACCGTGCACTTCTTATTCGACCTTAGACATTTTGTCACCTTACACAGTGGCTTAATAAAAACGTAGCGGCATAAGCATGTCATAATTTAACACAACAATCATTGTGACTTACAAAACCATAGTCGGGCCCTAGTCTGGTGTTTCTAGTCCCAAGGCTCAGTACACAAACCCCTTTCTGGTGCCCTGAAGGCAATCTTAGCATTGATTCAGCATGAAAAAGGCTTTTCCTCGCTGTAACTGGTGAACTTGCTATTTCCTTTCTTCTTTTCTAATCCTTTGAAAAAAACGGGAGTGGCATTTTGAGGCTCTGTGGGTCTGGCTGCCACCTTGAAGTGCTGTAGTTGTCTGGCAGCTTGTTCAGCTGAGAGGATAGTTTCCACCAGCATGGGGCCATTTCCTGTCTCTTGATCCAGCTGACATGCCTAGATAAAAGCAGCTAAATTAAGCAGGTGTCACTTCCACTTCCATTTCGAGATATGTCTTGATTAGCTCACTGACTTCTTCAAGTTTCCCTGCCTCTGGGCTAGGCTCTTCCTGAAAGGTGGCCAAGAGGAGGGAGTCACAAGTCACAGCCTTACGGCTGCTGACCGAGATACAACACCCAAAGCTTTATAACTTGGGAGCTGACCCCAAGCAAACCCAAGTTTAGGGTTTCAGTCTTCAAAAGGAGGAATGACTTAGGGCTTTAGGTACTGCTACTTTGAAAGAAAGGACACAAATACAAACATTTCAATGGGAAAAGCTTCTCCAAATGCCATGGGTACATGTGAAAGATAAACAAGGCAAAAATATTGGACATCAACCCTTGCCAATATTATTTAATCAATCAGTGCTAAGCAGCCGTCCCTCCAAAGCAGGGGACACAGAAAACAAGTTGTTTTCAGTCAGTACCTCTCTGACTGGCACCGCCCTGCCTCTGTCAAATTGCTGTTGTGTGGGGGAAAGAGATTTCCCACAATCGTCTTTGGGGCTACAAAATCCTGGTCTGCTAGTTCTGTGTTGCATAATGTAAGAAGTAATTAGAGATCAGCATCACTGACATTCACATAAATCCTGAAATATTTTTATGGCTCAGGACTTACCTAATAGGATTAAACAAAGCAAATGTTCAATTAGTTCTTTATAGGCCATGGCAAAATCAGCCTTCCTCTGCTGAAATGGTGCAAGTGGCATTCAAACTTATCCACAGGATGTAACGTATTGTATAACAACAATTATTTCACTATGTATTACTATATATGCTTTGCTACTCTTAAATTAGAAGTGCAATCATTCATTGTATGATTCTGAATGTACATTAACCTGGAATTGCACCATTCTCCAGGAAATAATCTCCTTGTCATTAAAAGAAAGCTTACACAGTACATATCATTTTTATTATGCTAAATAAACTTGCAGTTACATAAATATCTAGTCAGATATTTAAACTTTTAGCTATGTAATACGCTTCTGAAATCTAAAGCTGAGAAATCCAAGCCTTGGAGAGTATATGAGCTGGAGGGTAAATATAGTTATTTTTAATAAGTGTCACTGTATTAAATTCAGGAGCAAAAAATGACAAGGTGCCAAACAGCTCTAGGTTGTAACCCCCAAATGCCTAAGGGTATGGTTGCACAAACAAGCTCCCATGAGGCATATTAGGGCTGATTTTAGAGAATGTTAGCTATTGTATGTTAACAGTGTGTAAGCCCCTCTCCACAGGTAATTTTGCAGCATTTAGAACTTTTTTGGCTGCCAGAGGGACACCACTTCTCAGCATGGTGTTGTTATACAATAAACTGCAGCTTTAAGGCCAAGTCCTTGCTTGGCTTGTGATGACCTGCTATCATAGCTATATCCATAGTGAAAGTCAAGGAGATACCAGAATCCAGGCAAGCAAACATTCTGAAAATAGTGTGAGCATCAAAGTCATTAGTAAGCTTCTGAAGGGCTGCACCCTAAGACTGGGAAATGTCTCTGTGGAAGCCCTTCACAACTCCTCAGTGATTTTCCCCTTTCTTTCTCAGCAGCACTCACTCCTAGAGAGTTACAGGGGTTAAAAAGGCATCCTTAAAGAAAGGCTATCGAATGATTGAAGTCAGAGCAGGGAGATTCCTGACTCCTCACAGGGCAGATCCCTGTGACCATTCCCATTTGGGATCAGTAGTCCTGCCTGGGCATGCCTTTCTCTCTCCACATAGGACAGGAATGTTCCCTGGGGTGGTGTCCATGAAGCTCATGCTTCTTCTGGTGAGCGTCTTGGCTTTCTTAAACGGGAAGCCAGTGCTGTTTGGAAGTTGTCTGTTGCTTGTTACCAGTAGCTTAGCCAAGAAATGGACGTCGCTTCTCTTCTAGGGCCTCAAGGGAGACATCGGACCAGCAGGTGTCATGGGCCCACCTGGTAGGCCTGGTCCTGTTGGCCAGCCAGGCCCCCCTGGACCGTCAGGATTAGGTAAGCCAAAAATGAGGTGAGCTCCCCAGGAGTGTCCCTGCTCCCCAGCCCTTCCTGACTCATCAGGCACACATAGGCCCCTCTACACAAAGTGCCACAGGGCTTTGTTTGCTTCTCCACCCATGGCAAGGAGAGGATTTCTCCTGGAGGCAGATCATGCCATCCTCATCCATTATAAGGACTCTATATCTTACTTTAAAGCCTACTTTATGGCTTCTGATGTTTTCAAATAAAACCAAACTAAAGCCTATGTAGTCCCTGAGGGATTTTTTGTAGATGGGGACAATCAAAAGTTATCTGGCAGCCTTGGAGAGACTAGGTAATCTCTATCATCAAAGGTCTGCATGACCAGCAGTGTGCCCTGGTGGCCAACAAGGCCACTGGCATCCTGGCCTGGATCAGGAATAGTGTGGCCAGCAGGAGCAGGAAGGTCATTCTCCCCCTGCACTCGGCACTGGTGAGGCCACACCTGGAGTGCTGTGTCCAGTTCTGGCCTCTCAGTATAGGAAGGACATTGAGATGCTTGAGTGTGTCCAGAGGAAGCAACGAGGCTGGTGAGGGATTTGGAACACAAACCCTGTGGGGAGCGGCTGAGGGAGCTGGGGTTGTTTATCCCAGAGAAAAGGAGACTCAGAGGTGACCTTATTACTCTCTACAACTTCCTGAAAGGTGGCTGTAATCAGGTGGGGTCGGTCTCTTTCTCCAGGCAGCAGCTGACAGAACCAGAGGACACAGCCTCAAGCTGTGCTAAGTGAAATATCGGTTGGATATTAGGAAAAGGTTTTTTACAGAAAGGGTGATAAAGTACTGGAATGATCTGCCCCAGGAGGTGGTGAAGTCACCATCCCTGGATGTGTTTAAAAAAAGACTGGATGTGGCACTCAGTGCCATGGTCTAGTTGTGGTGTTAGGGCGTGGGCTGGACTCGATGATCTTGGAGGTCTCTTCCAACCGAGTGATTCTGTGATTCTGTGATTCTGTCTGCTTCTTCAGATATCCTGGCTTACAGTGAGAAACTGTGCTTTCTAATCAGCCAGGACATGTTCACCCTGTCCAGCTCTGCAAGAGAAAAACAAATGAGATTCAAGTGACAGTGACATTAAGGAAGTAAGGGAAGAGAATGGAAAGGGATGGGAGTAGGGAGAAAAAAAGAGCAGTGGAGCAAAACTCTCTGTGTAATTAAGTGCTTGAGATCTATGCTCACTGCAATTGAGAGCGTTGTAGAAATTATGACAAAAAACCTTGTAATACCATAATTGTAGATCCTCAGAGCTGTGTACGCACATGAACCCTGGTCAGCTTGTGGGTCCAAACATGGACATGAAGGGCAATACACGACCCACAATACACAAGGTCCCCTTCCATTTTGCTTTCCCTTTTCCTTCCCTTGCTTGCATTAGCAGACAAGAGGTCTCTTCTTGTGGTGGTGTGGAAATGTGGAAAAACATCTGTGAAGCCGGGCACAGCTTTAGAACCTTCATATATCTCATGTCTCCTATTAAGAAGCATCTTTGTTGGAGTAAATTAGCTGGAAGCTTTCAGAAGGCAGAATTTTCACCATCCTAATGGGAAGGCAGCCAAGACCTTGGGATTACTTTTTCAAGGCTTTATTCCATCCACAGAACGTTTATGTGTCAGGGTTATGAATCTTTTTCTTCCAGAATATAAATTCTGATCCTAAAAGACATTTCTGTAATGATGTCACTGCTTGCAGTATGACCATATTGGCTCATAATCTAATTCTGCAGAGCATTGCATCCTTGCCAAAGTTTGAAAGTCAAAAAAGCAGTATTTTTTTCTGTGTGTGTGTTTAATTAAAGCATTAAAAAGCTCCTGTATTTTTAGTTGGGTTTTTGCTCTATAGAAACAGCATTGCTCAAGTGGTTGTACAAAGGCACAAGTCCAGTGTGTTGTAGACATATGCAGAGACTGACTCTACAAAACTTGGTGCATAGATGCTGTAGAGTGGTCTGTGTGTTCATCCTGTCCTGAATTTCTGTAGCTTCAAACAGGCTGTCAGACTGTCAAGTGCCAAACAGACATTTATTCTAGGCAAATGGTCTCTCTCTTCCTCTGTAAAACTGCTAGAAAAACTCAAAAGGCGATCTGAAATAATATGACTATGATAAAAAAATGGCATCCTTCTCCTGAAGCACTGGAATTAGTGCCTCCCTTCATGTCCCAGTGGATTTGGTGGGAGATGTGTCTATCTGAAAACTTGGGTAAATGCAGATATCCACCTGACCTGTACTTTTCCCACTAAGGCTGTGTTTGTGTGTTGTGTACTAACTTCATAACAAGGCAAGCTGGTACTCTGCTTCCTAGGGCAATTTGCAATAGGACCAAAAGGAGAAAGAGGACTTCCAGGGCCTCCAGGGAGATGTCTCTGCAGAACCCCACAGCAGATGAGTAACCCATCATATGAGGAATCTCTGTTTGGACACAGCTACCCAAAAGTTCCCGCGGTAAGCAGGTTTTCTGGGAGGGGACGTGAACAGTTCTTAAGTGCTTTTATTATGATAGGTGTTGAACTCACTAATATTTTTTATTTAATAGGAAGATATACAGGCAATGTGTGATTTCTGGTACCCAAAACCTCTGAGATCCAGCTGGTGCAAAAGAGTTCAGTCTCATAACTTGTGTGATTGATGTGCTGAAAGGCAGCTGTTCCAAAACATCAGTAAGATAGCACATGTTTGGAAATGTTTTTCAAGCCTAAGGATGCTGTCTTTCATCTGCTATTGTACATATATAATCTGTCCTTTTTATTTAATGAAATCAGAATACATTTCAGATGAGTCAGTAATCTCTTTCCTGAATTGAATATTGGGATCAAGCATTTTATGCAATAGAGCTTTCTCCCAAAGCACATACCCTCAACAACAGGAGTTTCCACAAACTGTGAGAATCAGGTGTCTGGGCTCCAGTCTGCAGACACACACATTATATAGCTAATTTCCATCTCTAGACTTGAAAGCATTTTTATTCTGTGCAATAATAAGCCTTATTATTCTGTGCAATAATAAGCAGCACTTAGTCAGCAATGAAGATGTTCCCTTGCTGCTGTGTGCCAGCAGAGCTCAGGGAGTGGAATTGCTGTGGTGTCTGATTGTCTCTGAATGTCAATGGGCAGCAATTAGCTTTGTTAAAGCCCTACCTGTCACACTGGCAGAAAGCTGTCACAGTGTGTGGGAGGGACACACTCACACCACCATTAAACTGGGTCACTGAGCTCAGCCTTTTGCAAGAGTGTGTTTCAAGTCTTGTTAGCTGTGTCAGCTGCTTGCTCATCCCTGGCTCTGTTGCATTAGGAAAAACCCTCCTGTTGTTTTGAAAACATGATGGTGAGAGATGAATGTGCTGAAATCACCACACTGTGAGCAAAAAAAAAACCACATCATGTACTTTGCATTCTGGAGAACTTATAGGAAAAGCTTTAAGGCTCGCAATGTAATGTATAGGTCTTATTACCTTCCTTCTCCATCAGGCATTGTGTCATATCAGAGCTTAAGAGATAGTAATGAGTGTAAATATCTAAAATACCATACACTATCACCAAGACCCCCCAAGTACAATCATGTTGCCAGGAATGTGGGATGACAAAAAGGCAAGTCTTAGTTCTGGAACTTCCAGAGCAGCATTTCCTGACTGCCTCATTTGTTTTACTCCCTTGAGCATAAAGAACACTTTAACTTAAACAAGAGCTCAAACATCACCATTGTTTATTCTGTTCAGGTCTCCATGTAGCAGCTTTGAAGCCTGTCTTGGGCCACTTGAAAGCTCTTGTCAGGCACCTATAGCTGCACATGGAAAGAGATGGTGCTGTGTGCCCTGGCCCTGTGGTTTGCCAAAGCAGCACAGCCTCACTGCCAACACCCCTGCACCCAGCAGCTCCTCCAGAGGTGGGCAGGGGCTGGGAAACAAAGTGCTGCTTTTCTGTCACTGGCTTAGATTCATTCCATTTTTTTAATCTTGTGCATTTTTAAAGGCTGATATCTCCAATTGTTTGAGAAAGCATAGTTTTGCTATTGATTTCAAAAGAAATTTGGGTTCTGGGGCTGGGCCTTGAGCTCCTGAACATAATTACAGAATCAGTTCTGTGCTGGCTTCTTATATCTTCGATTTCTTTCATTCAAGCTAAAGGCATTTTTATTCAGTACATCTTTAATGAAATTTGCCTTTGTCCAGGGTTATAGGAATATTCTGCTATGTAAAAATTTCAAGGTAACTTGTTTTTGAAAGAGCCAATTCTGTTTATGCTGGTGAGAATCATACTCAGACCTAAATCTATTTTGCTCAGAAGCACTCCCTTTGCTTTTTCTTAATTTAAAAATGGCTTGAATCTTACAAAAATTAAATTGATTAAGCTGCTGAAGGAAGAGATTATTTCCTAATGCTTCTTACATCAAATTTTAGTGACTGAGACATTAAAGAAATGGGTAAGAGAGCAGCTTGTCCTAATTTTTCCATTTTGAACTAATTTTTTTTTTCAGTGTAATTGAAGACTTGGCTTTAGACCATAGTAGATGCATATAAAGAAACATGCATTTTAGTGCCAATTAAATCTAAAAAAACGCAAGAAGAGGTAAAAGTTAAATGAAGGTTGTATTGAGCCATGCATTATTGATTTTGTAGCCACAAACGTGGCTGAAAAGTTATAGTCAATCCACAAAAAGCACTTACGCCCACTTGGATTTCACAACAGTTTCAGCATCAAACCATTTGAGCACCAGAAAGTTGTGCACTTCTCAGCAGTGATTGTGCACCAGTATTGGTGTGATTTTTACCTGAGGACATGCATTTCAAGATAGGAAACACCATTCTTTCCATGGGTGTAGATTCTCACCTCCTCTCTTTCTGAAAACAACTGAACTGTATCTCTAGATATTATTTTCCTATTTGAAGACACATATGCCAAACTAGATTCTGTGACAATCCAAAAAACTTCTTGAGAAGGTTACCAATCACCTCTTTTTCTGTGCCCCAGATTTTTGTGGTGAATAATCAAGAAGAATTGGACCGGTTAAACACTGAAAATGCATTAGCTTTTAGAAGAGATCAGAGATCTTTGTATTTCAAGGATACCTTTGGATGGCTCCCAGTCCAGGTGAAAATATGACTGTGGTCTCAGAAAACTTGTGAGTGTATGTTTCATTTTGAAATACAGAACACACTTCTGTACCTAAGGTGTCCTATAGAATCAATTAAGTAAATGGGGGGAATGCTCATCTTTGAACACTGCTTCAACTGTACATAATTCGGTGAATTTGCTCACAGGAGTCTTAATTATTGAAGAATTAAGTCAGCAGTGTTGCAGGTTTTGCTAACTTCCCTGTGAACCAGGTTCACAGGGAACAGGTGAACAGACTGGAGCAGAGTTCAGGGAATTCTGGTAATAAAGAGAGTTTTTATTTAATATAAAATAAGGCAAAACTCACCAGGGTACAAGGTTGCAGAACTAAAACCCTGCAAACCAAACTCATGTATTTCCTTACTGCTTCAAGGAGCTGAGTCCTGCTGAAATTAACAGCAGGATCCTTCTTGTGTCTACTGGACTTTGGATCAGACTGTATAAACCCTGTGACCAACAAATAACATGACATAAAAGCCTGTCTGTGGGACATGCTCCCCAGAGCCCTTCTCCTCTGCTTGCTATCCTGCAGCTGGTCTGGTTCAGTAACCACTGTGTGTTTGCCTGGTCAGCTCACCCCTCTCTATCCCGTGGATTACCGCTTCGAGGACGGGGGTACCTGTGGAGATGGGATCGTGCAGGATGGGGAGGAGTGCGACGACGGCAATGCGGTTGTGACTGATGGCTGTATAAGTAAGTTTCTTTCTGCAGGGGAAGGTGCATCAGTGGTACCACAGGATACAACTAAAATCACACAAGGAGAGCTTGTGTGGTTTGTGGATCAAGTGCAGGCCTGGGGAAAGGGAGGCACAATGGCCACAGGGTGAAAACTGAGGCTTTCATGCATGTGGATAGCACACACCAGCACAGGACAGAGGTGACAGCAGTACTGCTCTGCACCCTTGCTGAGTCAGAGACACTGCATTTCGGGGGACACACACACGCTTTTCCTGTGGGCTGCCAGCTCTATCTAAAAGATGTAGCACACCTTTGCAGTGCAGCATAGCCCTTAGGATAGACACTGAAGCTGGCTGTTTCTTACAGTAAAAGGAAACCTGAGTCTCGAAACGCCACTTTGGATTTTATTATTCACTTGCACAGGGAAGGTGTCGGCCCACTACCTTCACTATTAGGTTTATACAACATTTAATTCATGTCTAATTCCATTTTGCTGATTGTGGATAGCAAAGAGCATATAAACATTCAAGCAGCTGTGGCAACTTTCACTTCCTCATCTCAGTTACTTTTACATCTTGAATCTTTCCCCAGGGCACAGCCCTACACCATCTCCATATAGTAGGTTTGGTGCTCTGTTGTTCCCAGCAAAGAGATGCTTCTTCACTTTTCAGAACAGTGTCACCCAGCACTGAAAGATACAATTTTTCATTTATGTATCCCTCAATTTTTCAGCCTGACTTTGAAAATGGGGTGTATGCAGCCACCTTGTATGCAAGTTTCTCCATCCACCTGTCCATCACCACCCTTCCCTTTAAAATTTAGGAATTCCAGCCAACTTCTCAATGACGACAGGAAAGAGATTTCAAAGGCAATTCAGTCTCAACAGGTCTAGGAAGACATATAAATAAATGGTCCTCTAAGCTTGCCTGACTGCAGCGTACTCCGGAGACAGCAGGATCTCTCTTGTTTCCAGACATGAGAAAACGATTAAATTAGGGTTTGCAATCAGCCGTGGGGAGCAACCATGTGGGAAGATAGTGTTCATTAGTTCTTGTGCCTGCAAAATTGCACTCTGTGTCTGAGGGCACATCATGCTCTCTGTGCCTCAGGAAAAGTCTCCATGGAGGCCTTGCAATACACAGATTTCTGACACTGGTGTGACCCATCATTGAGTTACTTGGAAATAAGTACACTGTCATCATTCTTCTCCCTTAACTGAACCAATAGAAAAAGGCTAACCAAATGTTAAATGGATTTTATTGTAAAAAAAAGGCTTGTTGGTCTTAGAAGCATCAATTTCTGACAAACACATCCTTGGTGCAATTAATTAATCATTTCTATTTGTAAATACCCCCCTTTAGCCTCTTATAAACTCCTTGTTCCTGAGTGTTAGTTTAATCCCTTTCTTAACACCAGAGGATTCTCCCAGAAGATGTCAAAGGAATTTTAACTAAATGAATTTGTTAATGTTAGAAAGTCATTCTCAATATGCTGAACATATCAAAATCGAAGTCCAATTGCTAAAATGCCAAGCAAACCCACAAATTACTGCAGCCTACATGTCAGTCACCATGAAAAAATGTGACAAGTCCCACTCATGCTCAAGTCAGTAAGAGTCAGCAGTGGGAAAAACATAGTTTTGGCAACCTTTATATATCATATTTTTTTATAGACAGGCTGTATAATTCCGTTCATATGTGGAAACTCACAGCAGACAAACACAGATATTGTACAGAATTGTGTAAATGTCTAGGTTGGGAATTTCAAACCAGTTAACAACCTAAGATTATTTTTTGAGATTGTGACTTCCCTGAATCATTTATGTTAACTGTATTTTATATTTCCCTTAACTTGTTTTGATAGTAATTATCTATGGCAATAATAAGTTTCAAATAAGTGCTGTTGTAATTAGTGATTTAGTAGTAATTTATTTTAGTATTTATCCATTCTTTCCCCTGGTTATTGAAGTTAGGCTAAAAAAAGTACATTCTATTTAGTGAAGAGTACTGCTCCTCTTAAGACAGTCCTTACAGAATGCCTCAAAATATCTTGCTTTGCATACTTAACCCTTAAAAATCTAGTTCCACTTACTTTACCTGTTTCTTTTACATATGAAGGGCCTGGAAGATATTTATTCCTTTATTTTTCACTAGGGTGCCGCCGTGCTTACTGCGGAGATGGCTACAAGCACGAGGGGGTTGAAGACTGTGATGGCATGGATTTTGGATATTTGACATGTAGAACATACCTTCCTGGGTATGTGAGAGGAGGTCTTCACTTTGGTTTGGTGGGTTTTTGGTTGGTTTCTTTATGGGTTTTTTTTTTGTGTGTGTGTGTTTTTCCTTTCTTTTTTTTTCTCTGCCAGCTTTAAAACAGAGGAGTCTCACCCACTTAAACCTCGTTCCACTGGGACCACTGCAAGTAGCAGGGAAGAAAGAATCTATCAAATTATTTCTGTATAACATTGACTTTAAGGGCTAAATCTCTTTTCACAGTAAGAAGTACATGCCTCCTACTGTACAAAATAAATGAAGGTCATGTAGACCTTTGTTTGCCCATTTCTTGCCAAAATTTCCTCAGCTGGTCACATTAATGTCCAGCCATAACATAAGAAGAGTAGGAAAGACCATGAGAAGATGATCACACTGAAGGAAAAAACCCACAACATCCAAACCACAGGCTCCTGCCGACCTCCTGCTGCCCTTCCCATTAATGGGTACTTTAGAGGTGTATTTGCTACTGAATCAAGCTGTCATCTGTCAGCTTTCCCAAGGTGCAGGAAATTCATTCACCAGCAGATGCATCTGCATAGCAACGTCCTTCATTTAAAACATCTGCTTATTATTGACTCACCTCCTCTGCCTTTGTTCAGGCAGCTTCCTCTGGTCAGCGTTTTGCCTCCAACAGCAGCACCTCTATTTAGCTGTCAGGTATCGTTACTGGCTAACAGGAAACATTTAATTTGTAAATTAAATTATACACAGAGCCCTCATCATTCAGGGAACAATAATGTGCTAATTGACAGGAATAAGAAACCACAGGATGTCTTTGTAAATCTAGTGCTGTGCTAATCCTTCCACTGTAATTGTTGGAACACTTCTGGTATAAGAGATTGCTGAAATCCAGACCAGTCAACCTGACAAAACTGAAACATTTTACAGAGACCTCATCTTCTGACAGTGTGGAGTTGTTTTCTACTGTGAAAACTATTCCCTTCTTAGAGTCTGAAATTTGGTGCCTAAGATAGCACCACAAAAGCTTGAGGACAATTTTATAAATTTCACTTTGCATGTATATTAAAGTTGTGAAGAGCAACTGAGATTTTTTTTGTGTGTGTGTAGTCTGCAAATTATCTGCCAAACTAAAGAAAAAGCTGTGAATCATGAGAAAGTGGGCTGAGTATGTGAGTATGACACTCCCATAGGAGTTTTACCCCGCAGTAACCTTTCCTCCAAGAATTCTGCTGCGGCTGATTTTCCCATTTTTTACTCTTTCCAGCCCACAGATCCCTCCTCCTTCACACACCTTCTCTGCAGATTTTATGTTAGTCTGAGAGTGTGGGTTATCCTAGGACGTAGTTTTAAAGCTGCTTAGTCCACAGCTTGATATTGTGGATGAGTTATTCACTTAGACATTCCAGCAATAAAAACTTATTTAAATTCTTCCTAACAACTCTGGTTAGGTCTTCAGTAGGTAGAGTCACTGCTCAGTTTAAGTCAGTAGAAAGACAAAATCTCTGTTTTTCCTTATTTTGCAAGGACTCTTCAATTTACTTTGTTTTAAATTATTTCAAATGTGTGAATGTGTCACTCTCATTATTTCAAGTGCATGAAGAAGAAGTTAAAGGACAGGCACAGTCACGCCTGCTGAAGCTATTGGGAGTAACTGGAAAAACACTTAACTCAGAGCCTCAGATATTTTGTTCCACAGCTCCCGTGGGTGAGCTCTGGGACCTTTTGTATCCACCCCCATGAAATGCTCTAGTCCTGATGCCAATAGGGATTTTATATTTTTTAATTGACTTTACTGGGAGTGGAGTCTTCACTCATAGTTTCTCCTGGACTCCTGTTTTGCTGACAGAGGAGAGCACTGATGAAAATTGCCCTCCTGTTTTGTTTCCCATATGTTGCTGCATATGCATATTCTGGGGTTCTTCACTCCTACGGAGTTACCAGGAAACGTGTAAGTGAACTATACCATGCTTTGAAACTGAGATATTCTCTTTTATTCTAGGTCTTATGGAAAACTGCGATGCACTTCTTACTGCTACATTGACTCCACACAGTGCCGATACTTCACATGAGGGGAGCAGAGGTGGATAGCATCCCACATGTAGTGGGTGCTAGGTGCTACACTATCACCTATCCAAGAAGGACTGGGACAAAAAGATACCCCACCCACCTCTGGGAAAACAAACAAGGACACATCATGCTGCTGATGGCCATTTTGAGATTTTTTTTTATATATATATATTTTTTTTCTTTCAGATAGGGAAAAATAGGACCACTGCATCCTGTCTTAATAGAGAAATAAATGTCAAACAGTGTGTGCCAGTGAGATTTCCATGCGGCTGCTGCGGATGGCAATGTACTCTCCATCACAAAAGCAACATTAAGCTACTGGAAGCTGAGTTTCATTGAACAGGAATGTCATGTAACAATTACCTCGATTTAGCACTGTTAAACCCAAATGTAATCTCTTCGGGGGTTTTGTCTTTAACCCTTCTCCGAATAAACACAAAGCATGTCTTGGATGCCGTGTTTAGAGGGACTTTCTCTTTTGTTACAATGTGAACTTAGCAAGTGCTGTGTCCACAAGAGATGACTTCAGCAACTGTAAGGTGACCAATGCTCCTTCATTGGTCAAAGGAGTTGAAGTTCTTTCAGAATCAGCAAATCAGCCAAATAAGCTGGTTAACATCACCTTCAGGTGAAGGCATTGTCTGTGTGTCTGTGCTCTATCTACAAGCAGTCATAGGAGGCCTGCAAAACACACCACAGAGGACAAACTAAGAGGGAAGATAAAGAAGGAACATATTTCTGTCTTTTTCTCCTCTGTGCTGAGCTGGCTGGACTCTGCCAGACCCCAAGGGGCTGGGACAACATCGGTTCCCTGACTGAAACCATGGCCATGAACGCATTGTCTTCTCTCTGTGTCCACACTGGAAGGCCTTTGCATTTGCAACCCCTTATCCACCTCACCATCATCATTCAATTCCCAGCTATCCCCTGTGCTCCCTCCCCTCTGCCACTGGCTGTTTCTGCCAGCCTGTACCCCAGTGCGTGTGCTCACTTTTGCATCGCCGTGAATCAGACCGCGGGGTAGCGCGTTTACGGATGCTCAGTCATGCTGTGCAATGTACACGTGGGTTTTGTTTTTTGGGAAGGCCTCCCAGTTATATCAGCTCTGATTGGAGTCAGGGTAATTATATGCTTATTTCTTAGCAAGCAGTAAAGAGCAAATTTCACATGGAAAGCATACTAAATGTTATGTGACAAAGAGTCTATAACAGAAAATGAAACTGAGAATGTGCAGAATTCAGGACTAAAGCCTTAAAACTAGGCACTATTTTCATACAAGCCACTCTTTCCTGCTTTGTGGTAAATGTTGTACAGCACTGTGTGAAATATGTGAGTTATCTGTGCCAGTAACAGCACTGCAACAGCTGCACTGACACTGGCACTTCTGTAGAGGTTAAATAAAGGTGGATGTTGTGTTATAATGATAATGCATTAAAGCAATCAAGAAACACATTCAACTCTTACCACTGGCCTAGGAGACTTTAACTATGCATGTATAAAGTGATAGTGGAAATCACCAATTGACAACAAAAAAAGAAAGGAAATTAGTGGTCTTGTCATGATTATCACTTACCTGGGCTATTTATGTCGCTATGAAGCCAAATCTCCAGTATTTGTAGCCCAGTTCAACAGTTTAATTTTTTTTTTGTTTTGTTTTGGTTTTTTTTTGTTAACTGAGGTCTTAATAAAAGGACCAGGAATCACTGGGACAAGTAACTGCCACAAACTCTGGAAATCTGGGCACTAGCACAGCTGCCTTTTTAATTTCCTGTGCTTGTGCCAGCAGTGGGTTCCAGCACCACACCACAAGGAGCAGGTTTCTGGTTGCTGGGAGGCTCTCAAGGACAGACATGCTCCCAGCAGTTATTCCTGCTGGCCATTCCTCTGGCCGAACCTCTGGCAGCATCTGCTGGTGTTACCATCCGGGGATTGGAGACACTTCATCTGAACTATTCACCATCTCCAAGGAGTTTATCTCAACCCCACAAAAGGCTGGAGTCTCTGAGAAGCTTGGTAATTCCAGTGGCCTTTCACCTTCAGTTTTCAGTTGGATCATTTTCAATTAAAAGCTCCTACCTCCAAAGGACATTGAAATAACAAAGCTACGTGCATGGATCATAGAATGCACAAACAGGAGATATAATCAACCAGGTAAAACTACTGTGCTGCACATGTTCAGAAAGGGGCCTATCAGTCTGGTCAGTCTGGGAACACTTGCAAAGCCTGGATTTTAAATGAACAAAGCAATGTAAAATATAAGAAAAGAAAAAAGAAGTTTCATACTACTGTTACTGTCTTGTTCCCCTCAGAAGATAAAGCATGAGAAAGACGCCTGGGAAGGTGTAAAGTATATATGATTTAAAATGCTGCAAAATAAATCCTTTGCTCTCATTTCTGACATACCTTATTTATCATTAATTGGGTATTCTTCAGCTGGGTGATGCCTGGTCTGCTGCAAATTGTCTTCCCTCCTTCTCTGAATTTGGGAACTTAATGCATTGTGCCAAGACTGGTTCAAAAGTTAATTGGAATATTTCAGTTCACTAGACTTTTGTAGCAGCATACACTTGTGCAAGAGTTTTCTAATGATTAGTTTGCAACTCTAGGCAAGTACAAAGCATTTTGCCATGCACTGTATTAATATATACAAAAAGTCTGGCTTGCACTTAATACATGATTAAACACATGTAATTACCTACTGTGTATACTAGTAGCTCATGTCAATAAATCGTGCTACCTTAGCTCCCTATGTCCTTACTTTCACTTATTTAATTTTGGGTTTGCAAGCATGTTTTTTCAAATACAATTACCTAGTTTAAGAAGCTGGGGAGGGAAAAACACCTCTTTTTTCCCATGCCTGCTGCCTCTCCTTGCCTGCCGTGGGATCTGGTTCTGTGTGAGCACAGAACAGCTCTACTTCCATTGATTTCTGATTGGAATCTGTAAACTACTTGTTTTTAATAAGGCTTTGAGCTGTGGTTTGGGGGATTGTCTCCTCCTGCTACCTGATAAATGTAAATACTGGCTGCTTTGCGGTTCTGTATCAGGCTCAGCTGATGGCTGTGAAACAGAAGGCAACAGCCTCGGGTGCTGAAGGACAATGGAGATGGTGACACTGGCACCCAAGATTTGGACACTCCTGGAAGCTGGCACCCAGGTTTCCAGAAGAGGGTCCTGCCTTGCAGTAGCATCCTGTGAGAGTTTGTTGTCCCAAGGCATTTGTGTTTAACAGGGAGTTCCAGAGAAGGGCAGTCCTGCCTGTCCCCAGGGAAAAAGGAAGTGTATTGACAGAGAATGAGTCTATTTTCTGCCTGTCCTTTCTAAAAACTCAGCTTCTGTGACACTCACCTCTCTGGCATCCAAATGCATATGCCATTTCTCCCTTCCCTTCAAATTGTTCAAAATCATAGCTGTCCAGGCTGTCCTTGCCCATAAATCTGGCCGTCCACCTCATCTCCTTCTTTCTTTTTTCTTATTTCCTCTAAAGACACCCTTTTTGTCACCTCCTGAAAACTGCAATGCCCTTGCTGCTTTTCTGGGTTTCATCAGCTTTTCTTTCAGTCTCTCACACCATCCCTTTTCTAACATCTTATGCTTGTGACAGCCCTGCCATATGTCACAGCAAAGCTCCTTGGTGATGGTCCTTACCTTCTAAATATTATAGGATGCATTTCCCACTTCAGCCCCACTCATTTGTACAAGGAGAGAGGAGAGTGGTGATTATCCTTAAACTGTGAATCCCCAAGAACTGTCCTTGAGCATCAGCTGTTTAAGAGGAGTAACAGTAATAAATCCCCAATTAGCTGCATTTGGGGACAATTCAATACACTTGGCTGCCACATATAATCAGGAGATGTATTTTAAAAAGGTGACCAAAATAAACCCAAGAGAAGGAAATCAGTGCTGTGCTGTGGTTCTTTGATGATATTTAAGTCTATCACGCACAATGCTGCAAGGAGATCTTTAAAGAGCTGTTGGAAAAATCACATTTTAATTCACAAAGGGTGAGGCAATGACAGCACTTTCTAAAAGGCTTTCAAGTTCTTTCTCTGATAGCATTTGCCTAAGGAGATGGATATGGCAAAGCAAGGGTCTCTTCCCTGGAAACCATTCTCTTGCAAGGAAAGCACAGAATAATGGCTATTGAACTCTGCTACAGGCAGCATACTGGCAAAAGGTACTGGCAAAAGGACAGACAACTGGTGAATGCAAAATTTGGACCAGGAATTTGGATCAGAGTAACTGATGCTTACTAATCTGGTAAGACACCATACAACTTGTAAGCCATTAGAGCACTGCCAGATCCTTACCAAAGAGGAAAAAAAAAAGGAACAAAGCCTAAGCAAGTGAGCCATTTGTGTCTTTAATGAACATAGTCAGTGAAGACCCCCCACAATATTGATATGTCCAGTTACATGCCCAGCAATGTGCTCTATGCAGAAAGCTGATGTCACTCCAGGGCTGAAAAGGCCAGAGCAAAGCCTGGGCATATGTTTTCATTGCATCAGTAATTACTGATTTAGGAGGGCATTTAGGAGGATGGCCCTGAACCAGCCCAGCCAGGGAAGGCTGCATTTGAAAGGATGGCCAAGCCAAATCGTATTAGAGGAGTGTACTCCTGATGGAAATTACATTAGTGGCTACTTCCCTCCCTCCATCCCAAACAAAATCTTGGCACTTAAAAGGCACTGAGTTATAGCCCTGGCCTTTTACAGCTTTTAATTCACTCTGACAGTTTCCCCGAGCATCTGAGGGAGGGTCCAGTTTGGATGCATAATATTCTCCAGTGACAGAGAAAAGGGTTTAAACAGACATATTTTGCTGCAGCCTTCCCACACACTACTGAGCAAGTAGTCCTCCTGCATCTAGTGCTGCTCAAGATTTTCTTTGGGAAGGAGAGTGATGGAGCTGAACCCCTCAAAGCCACTGATAGCAAAGCCAAGGGATGCAGCAGGGCATTGCATGGAGCAGGAGCCACTCTGGCCAGTGTGGCTAGGGTGGGAAGGGGCCTCATGTTGCACATGTGCACCAGAGCATCTCGTGTTCTCCAGGAAAAGCTGTCTGCAGTGCTGTCCCCAGGGCTAATGCTGCTGGTGGTATCTCCTGCAGGACACAGGGAAGGACAAAGCACTCCCTGAGCTGTTTTGCAGGTGCAGCTGGGAGCCTGCCTGGCTGGTCTGTGATAACACAAACACGAGGTTCAGCAGAGCAGGAATCGGAGTTAATGGCACAATAAATCAGCCAGGAGGAAGAGGAGGTAACATTACCTACTCACACAGCAGCGTGTCTAGTATATTTAGAAACTTGGCAACTGAGACCCTCTTTTAGCCGGTCTAAAGTGTCACCATTCAATGAGTGAATAAACTGACATCAGCATTAAATTCAAGCCCATGGCAAGGTGTCTTTGACCCTTGTGCCAGGTGTGGGGGAAGCTTTCAGAATTCATCTTGAAGAGCAGTCAGAGCCCTGTCAGGGTCTGTAGCATCCTCTGTAGGGTTATCAGGGGAGTGGGTGTTGATGGTTATTCATTCTCACCCTCCTGGGAGGAAGAGACAGATGAGACAGACACCCAGTGGAAATTTCCTCTCAATCACTACAGAGTACTGACTTTCATCATGAAAATGCAGGCATGCAACACTTACTTCCCTTTGCCCTCCTAGCCAGAGCATCCCAAATTTAGTGGAGCAAGGAGAGAACTGCTTG